TCTTCCTCATTTGTCACTTGATAAAACAAGCTCCCCGAGTCAATATAAACTTACTGAGAATATGCCTTAGCTACTAATTTTGTGCATAGAGCACATGCCCCAATCCTCCAAATGCATTCGCCAGAGTAAGCTCATTGCCAGCTATCCCCGTTCAAACAGCACATGCCTTTTGTCGGCAAATAACATGTTATGAAAGAATAAAAGCATGTAGAAAAGGCTTTCCTAGATCAGGTCAAAGATCCATCCACCCTCCTGGCTCCTGTAGCGGCCAGCCAGGCATCTCTTGGAAGCTTCCAGGAATGGCCTGAAGAGGAGAACGCCTCACTGCTGGCCCTCAGCAACCGGCTTGCACAGGAACACTGCCTTTGAACATACAGTTGCTGTGCAGGCATCATGGTCAACATCCATTGAAAAAGCTTACCCTTCTCAGTTTAACTGTTCCAGGCAAACAGGACCTTGGGATACCAATCCAGCCCTCCTTGGGTCCCAATCTGGCTCTCCGGGGTTTACCAGATAGCCAAGCCTCTTTGCATGGCTCCACCTTATTCCCTGATCACCAATTGTTTTGGCAGTCCTCAGGTTTCGTGCACTTCCCTGCCTCCTTCTAAAGGCTTATGGGTCTCTTGGACATAGTTACTAACAGTAAGAGCTTTAAACTACTATATGCTAGTATTTTTGGCCCTGATTCTGTTGCCTTTGGCCTCACCCACCACTGAAATGTTGCCCATGAATACTTCTTCAAAATGAAATGTGCTCACCTGGGGATACAAAACCATTGAAACTCTCTTGCTTCACTAAGAAGCAACTGCTGAGCATAATTTTTAAAAATGTGAAGAATTAAACATCACCATCATTAGCAACATAGTGAACTACTCTGTAACAGGACAGATTATGTCTCTATCAGACAGCCAGCAGCTCTCAAACAGAATCTTTCACATGACCCATTTATCTCTTTAATTTCTATACTGCCCAATAGCTGAAGCTATCTGGACGGTTTACAACAGCCATGGGAGATGGGCAAACACCGGAACCAAAAGCTTCTGTCTGCACGGAAGGTCCCCTTTGGCAGGGAGACCTCAGATGCATAAGAAGAGGTAATGGAGTAATGGACCTCCATGCTCAGGGCACCCAGAAAACTACTCTGCTGAATTTTCTGGACATTTCATGAAAAGGGTGCTTTCTGGGAGTCTATTTTTGGGGCTCAGGGGAGAAGTTAATACATAATGATTTTGCATTTAGGAAAAGCATGTCGTGGGTAGAGTCTTGGACCGGAAGAAAGGAGATCCAGATTCTAGTCCCCACTTTTCTGTAAAGATCACTGGATGATCCCTGGTCAGACCCTGAGTCTCAGCCTAACTGGTCATTCAGGGTTGTTGACAGAATAAAGGAGAAGGACCATGTAAGTCATTTTGGGTTCCTTGCAGGCAAAAGGCAGGATATTTAGGATTCAGTCCTCTTCATAGCTAGACAGAAAAAGTGTTACAATTCCCAGCTTTCCCTGCAGCTGGGGCACGCTGGAAGTTCTGTCAAAACATGTAGAGGATTGCACCCTTAGGTTGATTTGGGATGACAATTTTATTCTAATGTATTTTACTTGTTGACTGAGTTATTATTTGTACAACACTCTATTTTTTAATACAGAAAAACATTTTATAAGGTACAATATATCACAGAATCATAGAATAGCAGAGTTGGAAGGGGTCAAGAAAGCCATTGGGTCTGACCCCTGTTTCAGGACACCAAGGTACACTGTCCCACTCAGATGACTGTCCAGTGTCTTTTTGAATCTCTCAAGCCCACAACCTCTCTAGGCAACTGGTTCCACTGTTGCATTGCTCGGACAGTGAAGAAACTTTTCCTGAACTCTACTTGAACTGATTATTCACTGTCCTACTCTCTGGTATCAGTAAAAAGAGATCTTGTCCTTCCTTTTGGGCACAGCCTTTCAGGTACTTATAAAGTGATATCATGTCCCCTCTCAGTCTGAACATACCCAATTTCCAAACCCTGGATCATTTTTGTTGCATCCTCTGGACTCTTTCTAGTTTTTCTGCATCTGGTGCCCACAACTTGATGCAGTATTCCAGATGAGGATTGCCTAGCAAAGAGTACAGGGGAGCTATTACTTCGCATGATTTGAAGGTGATACTTCTATTAAACGCATCCCAAAGTAGCATTTGCTCTTTTTGCATCTACACTGAATCAGAAACATAGAAACAGAGCATTGCTGGCTCATATTTAGCCTGTTGTCCACAATGACTCTTTTTCTCTTTTGCAGGTCTTTTAAAGCACATATTCCCCATCTTTTATTGACACATTTGGTTTCTTTTTCCTAGGTGGAGGACTTGGCATTTGTCCCCATTAAACTCATTCTGTTGCTTTCAGCCCAGCATTCAACCTTTTATAATCACCTTATATCTATATCTGCATCAATATCTATATCATGTATGGGAAATGGAGATTAAGAGACTAATGGCTTGTCTAAACTTTGATCTCACTGGCGAGATGAGTGATGGTATGAAATTTCTATCGGCAACTTCTTGGTTCAGATGTCTGTGGCACTATCTCTCATACTCCTCAAATTAAAATGCAAGGGTGCTTTCTCTTCCCCAGCCAACACGATTGATAGCTAGTCCATTAACAGATTAACATTAGCAGATACCTAAAAGCAACATAAAATACATTTAAAAATTAAGTAAGGTATCCATTTGGATAAGTCTATAAAGGATAGTGGCTTTGGATTAAGCACTCTGACAACGCAATACTACTTAGGTCTGTTTATTGAAATCCTAATCAATAACTGTGTCACTAGACCATGAAAAGGTCACACTGAAAAACCTTCTGACCTCTTAATGAATTTCTGAGATAAAGCCACCTTTCAGCGTGGAGATGCACAGGAAAATTCATGGAAAATTATGGGCAGGCTCTCACATCATGCTAAACCACCCTGAGGATAAACCACAATGTCTTGGTTGTTCCCTGATCAACTCCCTGTGTGCCCCACATGTTATTAGGCTCACTATTGGTTGTTCTTCCTGCTCCTGCCCCTCTCTACTCCATTCCAGTGGTCTTCACAGCAGATCCCGTCTTGTTTTCCCCTTGCCATTCCAATTGCTACTTTTTTGTTCCCTGCCATTTTACATTTTATTTTTAGAGCCTTAAAAAAGTGCTGTTTTTGAATCACTGAAAATTGTAGCATGTCATTAAATTAGTATGTATTTCTGCTGTGCTTTTAGAACTTCAGGAGAACCACAAAAGCAGCGGCAAGAAGTCCTCTGAGAAAGAGCCACATGAAGTGAGGGAAGCCAGTTTCTCCCCTTTCCATGGTGGCTGGAGAATCAGGCAAGGGTTGAAAAAGTGAAGTGCACTGAGAACTGCCAGTCGGACAATTAAAATCAAGAGGATTACATTGCTAAGTGGGTGACCTCACCATGATCTCGCTGGAGGGCACCTGCTCCCCACACCCTGTTCATCAGTGCTTTTCCCTTGACAGCTGGGCAAACAACAGCCGTCTTTCCATTTTGTATTTGGCAAACATTAACGTCACCCATCAGTTTCTCCCTACATTGGGCCTATTAGAATGAGCACACTGTTCGTACACTGTGGCTAGTAAACCAACCAAGCCATTTGTCTCTTTGGCAATGTCTGTGTCCTTTAAAAATAAAGCCTGCAGTCTTTCTTTGAAAGTTTTTGAGCTAATTCCCTCACTTACATGTAACTGTTCTCTGCTTTGCTAAGATGCAGTTCCTATTTCTGCTGCATGCATGAAATGAGGATTAAAAAAAACCTATCCCTAACTGCCACAGTCTGGATGAATTTCAGGTGCAGGGATCGCAGATGGGGAGGCAAAGGCGCTTTGGCGAGCTCCTTCTCCTTACATGTGTGCACCTGTGTTCAGTCCCTGAGTGCCATTTTCCTGAGAGTATGCCAGCTTTGAGAAATATAGATTGGGCATGTATCCTCATCCCCACCCCACCCCCCAGAGGACAGGTTTGAAGGTCTGCCTGAGGACTGTCTCATATTTTGAAGACATTCTCTATTTGAAGGGCTGCCCAAGCCAGGTCTGATACAGCATTGGGAGGAAGAGCTGAGCTGTGAAGCTGCTGATCAGGAGTGCCTGAAAAGCAAGCTGGGCAAGGCATAATTGCCGCCTTCTCAGAGACTTCTACAGTCTATTCACATTATAAGAATTATTTCTAAATTTGCAATAATTATGTATTTCAGTTTCTTCTTGTCCCTTCTCTCTTTTCATTTTGCAGCACATGGTTTATCTTTTGGCAGTGTGTAAGTGGAAACATGGATCTATCCCCACCTCTGATGCCATGAATAGCCTAGTTTGTTTGGAATAATTTGAGGAGTCATTTATGTCCTTTAGGGGGGGTTTTTTTGGGGGGGGGGTAGGTCTCTTTATTTAACTGCCTTTCATTTCTGACTGCTTCATTTGTATTTATAGCCAGACCCAGTCAGAACAGATCATGTTCCTATCCTTGCTTCTGATCATCTCCAGCAAATCTCAGCAGAGTTCATCTACTGTAGAATATACCAATTTAGATGGACCAGTCATTTGACTCATGGCTTCTCTTCCTGGATTGTTCATGGTTAACAACCCATGCAGCCTATACTTTTGGGTTCACACATAAAGACAACTCGGGAGTCAACTACTCCCAGTCTACCCATATTACGAGTACTGTTAGTACGAATCAACTCGGTATATTGCAGCTTCCAGTGGTAGGTGGTCCACAGAGGAGGCTTAGCAACTGACTCTAGCATCTTCAGGTAGTCTTATACTTCAATCCTATGCATGTTTTCTTAGACATTGAAAGTGCATAGGATTATGTGATGTCCCACTAAGTTCACACAATCCTGAAGTAAGTGATGCATTTGTTGCCCTTGAGCTGGCTTGGCACACACATGCAAAAGCCAGCTTGTCTTTCCTCAGACTGGAACTTTAGGAATGTCCATCCCCCGAAACCTTGGAAATGCCACTCTTGTTTTCTTACCTCGTAATAACTCTGGACAGCATTCATGAAAGCCTCATCTGCCACAATCTGAGTTTCTCCGTTGAGGAAGGCTTGGAAGCGATCCTTGACTGTTTGGAGCTGCTGTTTGCTTATCTGAAAACAGGAAAAAATATCCAGGTAAGTTTAGCATTAAGATCAAAACAGACAGATACTTTTTATTTTTAACATATGGTCAACAAAATCCTTATTAAGGAAATAAATCAGCTCTTGTAATTTGTAAAATTAGGCACATGAATCATTATTCTGCATACATTTGCAAATATGGTATAATTTGTATTCCTTCTACCATTCATAAAAAAGGTGATAAACCAATTGCTGTGGAGCTCTACAGCCTTGCAAAGAGGAATAGCTGCTTTGGCACTGTCTGCTTTCTGAGACTTTGACAATCATTCTCTTAATATTTATTTTGAAGCTGGTTAAGAGACAGAACTTTTAAAATAAATATTGTAAAAGCTGATATGGTTCAGGATGCTGAAATAGCAGTGAGATTTTCATGGTCACTGGTATGAGCATAGCTGTATGGATGCGCGCGCACACACACACACAGAGAGAGAGAGAGAGAGAGAGAGAGAGAGAGAGAGAGAGAGAGAGAGAATGTACACTGGAAAGGCAACAGAATTTCTCATTAATGCCCCTATTTCCTGGCATAAGAGATAGATCTACTTAGGTGTTAGTGTGAGATCATGCCTACTTATACCAACAGGCCCACTCAGAGTCAAAACAATGTTTACAACGGGGAAAATAAAACAGATTCTGTATTATATAAAATCATGCAAATTAAATGTATTCGTGTATATTATCTAACACACTATATAATTTGTATTCTTTTTATATGCTGGCAATATATAAGCACAAAGAAATGTGTTCATCTGTTTTGTCAGGAAATAAGTCTTTTATTGGGATATTCTTTTTTCTTACGCAATGCACAATGTTCAGTGTATATACACACATTCATCCAAACCTATGAAAAAACCTATATATGTACAAACGTTATGCACTCACATTTAGTCAAGGTAACAAGGAAACTCCCTATTAAGGGTCTCCATGTGTGTGTACAACCTACACATGAACTCTGAGCTTCCCCAGACTTTTCCAGGCATTCTTATGACCATGCATAAGGGGCCTGGTGAGCTCTGTGGGCAGGCTCGTGCCTCCAGACCTGCCTAGTGCTCGCGCATTACCTTTTTTCATGTATTAATAGGAGTACATGGAACAATATGCTGTGCAAAGGACTGAAAGAAAGGTCGTTTTCTAGCAATACGCACTTGTTTATTACACGCTTCTGTAATTTTCATCATGATGTAATTCTTTTTTTGATTAAAGATTCGGGGTCTTATTTGGGGACTCTTTGTTAGTTAACTCATGTCATAATAAAAAGTGAATAAATGGAGAGGAATGGCATGTCTCATCAGAGCGCAGGGCTTGATTTGTATGAAACCACAAACCACGAATAATCAGTGAAAATAATAACTGCCAGCTTGGGAAATACCAGGTAATTAAATCAATAATTTGCGATCATTACAAGGCAAACGCAAATCGTTTGAATGCCTTTGTCATGAAACAAAGTTCCATTTCATCAACTGGCAGTGTTTTATTCAAGAAGAGCTCTCCCTCCAACCCCTCTGACATGGGAAATGAGATGTGGAAGGGCCTGCCCCGTCGCTGGGGTGCAGTAGTGCCCCGCCACAACCTGGCAAGACCCTCCATCCTTCTCTCGGGGTGTCCCAGAACGGAGGCCCACATGTGAGGAAAATGCCTGGAAGAAGCCACAGTGACACTCCAAGAGTGAGGTCTTGACCAGATCTGAGCGGAGTCGGACACCCCATGGGTGGAGTAGGAAACAGGACACCCCGTGAGCTGGGTCAGGCTGGGGAGCAGGAGAGGTGGCTACCTCTGCCCCACCTGGCTACTCAACAGCAGCATGCCAGGATGGTGGGCAGCTCTCCTAGGCGGGTCACGGCAGCTGCGTGGCAAGCAAGAGGAGGGAAATGGGCAGGGGAGACAGCCGAGAGCGCAGGCTCTCTTCTCTCTGCACTTCAGCCCATCCCTTGCTATCCTCTGCATGCAGAGCTTCTCCATCTTGCTTCTACACATGGAGAACAGAATCGTTCCAGTGTGTCTGGATATTTTCCAGCTTTTCTGAAACGGCCTTAGCTGATAGTTAGCAAAGCGACGGTGAGGCAATGCCATGAGCGCAGGGGCGGTGGTGGGTCAACTGTGGCTGGACCTGGGGCCAAACCCAGGGCCTTGCAACCTGGTGGGCTCCTAAATAGCTACCCAGAGAGTGCATCAGGGGAGGACTCATCAGGCCCATTTCCATTTTGTACCTGCACTCCTGATGGTGCAAAGATTTAAGTGTGTTCAACAAAACTCCACATGCACAGAGCATTTTCTTTTAATCATGTATACATGTGAACAATATATGAATTTTTATATTTTCATTGTAAACTTCGCTGTGGAGTTTAAGTTCCAGGAAAAAAAAGTCCACCTGCTTTTTCAGTTACAACCACCTCCGCTGAGAAGACTTTCCCCTTGTGAATCCATTTTAATAGGAGACTGGTTGAGCTGCACTGAGAATGAATGATGCCCACTGACATTGCTGAAGGCTTTAGCCCTGCGTAATGACGTCAGAGTGTATTGTGAAAAATAAGGCTGGGATTCTCCTGCCCATAGTATTGTTTCCCCTGTACCCCCCCTCTTCCCCCTTCTCTATATATGTATGTATGTGTGCCATGTTAATGCTGTGGGGGTTAAAATGCACTACTCGTTTTCAGCAAGCATCATAAAGTTTCCTCTAGCACGCCTTAATGTAATTATTTTGCTGACTGCAAAACAGCAGTCGTTTATTGATCTCCCCCACCCTGTTTCAATAGCTATCAGTGTTGTTAAGGGAGTGAGTCAATGCCTACGAGGAAATTCAATTGCTTTCATATTCCGTTTAGCATTTGCAGAGCTATGATAATAGAGGGCTCGAGCCCACCTATGAGAAGAATTCTTGTTTTCATTTGGTATTATGGCAAAGAAAGCAGCAGAGCAGAGCCAAGAAGGCTATCAGGTCCAACCCGCTGCTCAGTGCAGGACTCCAAGGTCGTCAGTCCTTCTCAGCTGGCTGTCCATCTGCACCTTGAATGCCCCTAGTGTGGGAGATCCCGCAACTTCCCTAGGTATGTGTCCCATTGCTGTACTGCTCTATCCATTGGAAAATTCTTCCTCATGTTTAGCCAGAGCATGGTTTCCTGTAACTTGAGCCCATTATCCTGTGTCCTGCATTTTGGGAGGGCCCACCTTTTCTTTTAGTTTTCAGGTTTACTAGCTGGCTTGATGACAGCGAGTGGCCTTACCATCATCTGTCACAGAAGCATCGACACCGCTTCTTGTCATGAAACAGATACACCACTCCTTCCTCACCAGTTCCACCTTGCTGGTATGTACCAACACAGCCAATCCACAATTCCTTTCTATAGCAATGCAGCCCCAGGTCACTCCGAAGTATGTATGAATGAAGGAATAACGCAGGAAATGCTAAAGGCATTAATCTTTCCCACTTTGCAATGATGTTGTATAGAATCAAACCATGGAGAAAAGGTTCAGAAGTGGCTACAAGTTTGTGGGAAAGGGAAAAGCATGTATGTGTCATAGTTCAGGCCTGACTTCTGGGTGCTTCTATGAAAAGTCAGAAAATGGGACAAATATCACATGTATGAAATGGAATAGCTGTATTAGAAAATGATGTAGTTTGAAAGTAAGCTGAAAGTCAAGGACATGGGCTTATATTTCTTCTAAATGGCAATTAGATTTACATCTAGGTGCTTCATTGCACATCAGCTGACTCTTCTAAGAGCTCATCATTGCGGCAAAGTATGTTCAAGCAAGATTTTGAAAGCCTCATAGCAGTACATTTCTCACTTAGTTACTTTCAGTAATATGCTTACAAATTGCATTAAAGGAAGCCAATGGAATTGCTTTTTTGCTGAAACAAGTTGGATGGAATCAATGCTATACATCAGGAGTCCTCAAACTTTTTCAATAGGGGGCCGGTGAGGCGGCGTCGGGTGCGTGCGAGGTGGTGTTGGGCGCGCGGGGTGGTGGCTCACTCGCTCGCTTGGAGATCTCCCAGCGAGTTCATAACCATCTCCGAGCAAGCAAGCCACTGCCTCCAGCCCAAGTTGCAGGGCAGTGGCGAGTGAGTGTGCGCGGGGGAGGCAGGCGGCGGCTCGCTCACTCAGAGATGGTTTTGAACTCGCTGGGAGATCTCCCAGTGAGTCCAAAACCATCTCCAAGTGGGGAGATCTCCCAACTAGTCCAAAACCACCTCCTCCGAGTGAGCAAGCCACCATCTCCCACCCGTGCGCAGGTGCGGGCGGCGGTGTGGCCAGATGAATGGGCATGGCGGGCCGGATCCATCCCGCCAGCTTGAGGTTTGTGGTTTGAGGACCCATGGCCGTGGTTTGAGGACGCATCAATGACCTTAGTTTGTAGGAGTCTGTATCAAGACTCAACCTTCTTGGATGCACACCTTAACATGGTAAGAGACTTGGAGTGTCAGAGAAGCCAAAAGTAATGCCACTAAGAGGCCAGACTCTCTCCCACTTGTCTCGTCTCCTACCAGGGTCACCAAAGGTGGAATGGTCAAAGAGGAGATACCAGACTAAGATACATCCATCCTCTTTGGAGCAACAGTCACATCAGGAGAAGATGTATGGATAATTGGATATATCTACTGGTACTGGGGGTGGAGAAACTCCCGAAGGGCAGCTACTGGGCAGCACTGGTAGTTGAAAGTGATACTGGAGGAGGATCGTTCATGACAATGGCAATGATGCTCAAGCTAATGCTGGTACATACTGTACAAAAGCAGGAAACAGTGAACCAATTCTAAAGAGTCTTACCTTATTTATTTACAATTCAACTTTTCAGTGACTATCACCCAGTGATTAAAAAACCTTAGTTAGTGCAAAAAAAAAAAAAAAAGGAATGGGAGAAGAGAAAAATGAGATCTCTTCCAAAAGATCCAAAAAGTCAAGGAGAAATTCCAGCCTAGATTAGGAATGCTGATAGACCAAAAATGGGGCGTATTATCTGACCAGGATAAA